CGAACCAACCTTCCGTCTGTCGAAGGAAAGCATTAAATTTTTAGTACAATTTTAGCACTTTTCGTATCTTTTTATTACAAATCCGGCCTTATCATACACCGAGACTAACCTTAAGACGTTTAAGATAGTATATTAAGTTTGTAACACCTCGAAATATACAATTTAGACCCAACAAAGTATATATATTCTTGATCTGCATAAAATTCTATGTTGATTTAGCAATGTCCGTCCATCTATCCGTCTGTGGAAATCACTCTAGCTTCCGAACGAAATGAAGTAAGCTGATAAAAATTTACTCAAATGTGTATTATGTCTGCAGGACTTTTGGTATTGAAAATGGGCTATGTAGGTCCACGTCTTCTTATAGCCCCCATATAACGGTACCTAACGATATGCGGTATTTTGATGATTTAAGCGACATTATTTACCGGAATTGTTTCAGAATTGATATTTGAAGTTCGTAATATCAGCCTAAGACAGAAAATGGACCATGTAGGTCCACGTCTTCGTATAGCCCCCATATAACGGTACCTCCCTATATTTGGTATTTTGATGATATTAGCGACAGTATTTAACGATTTTTTTCATTCAAGTTTCGCATTTTAATATTGTAATGGTTTATGACAAAACATGCCTATGCAGGTCCACGTCGTCGTATAGTCCCTAATACAACGGCTACATTTGGTATTTGTAAGATTTTAAAAGGATTTTTAACGGATTTTATTTTTTTGAAAATTGCCAAATTTGTACCAAATGGTGGAGGGTATACAAAGTTCGGCCGTCTTTTTTACTTGTTTTTCATTCGGCCAATATAAGTCCTTGGTTTAGACCAGCAGATAAGGACAACATGGGCAATAGAGTTTCCATCACTACTTTCCGCATACTGGTTCTCATTACCCCTCATATTTATGTGTTCCATATTGAAAAATGTCTGCGGTTATTAGTACTAGATGGAAGTGTAGTTGTAGTTGCGATGAGCAAATTTTGGACCCAATCTGAAACTCTCTTCGAAAGAGGTACTTTCGATCGGTTATGGATGTATAAAATACAAATGTCCTGAAAGGGATTTTTTTCTAAAAGTCGGGGACGTATGTTTGTTATCAACTCGGACCTCATCCGAAATGGTTTCGAAAGGTATTTCTGGACGTCCGTGCAAAGATTCGTGGCTCTAAAGCTAAGTGGCTATGCGCACATCTCTTGCCGTAACCAAAAACTATATAGCCCCTCCAGACACAGGATTGAGAATCTAAAAAGCATACCCCATGATTGCCGTTGTAACTTTGTTAACATCTAAATAATTACCTTCGATATTGACGAACATTAAATTTTGTAGTTGATTTTATCTCAATTCTATGACAACTAAACTACTTATCGGATTTAACAAGGACTCTCCTTACTCTACTGTGTGTGTGCATGTGTATGTTTGTGCCTGGAAAACTATACCATAGCAATGTAAATCTGTTTCACTATTGAATCAATTCAATCCATTGAAAATACTTCTTTCTCTGCGTACATAAGAATCAACCCCTTTTGCATTGGCAAATCTACAACGCTTGTGTGTGCGCGCTCGGCAAAAAGGATTAATCCGCTTAATACTTTAAGCTCTTACAACTATAAAATCATGTTTTATTTTTGTTATAATTGGTTACCGGAGTCTTTGGCAATGTTCGTCGTCACAATACTAAATAAATCTCTTTTATGCCAGGCAAAGAAATGAGAAAGAGAATTTCGAATTGATGGTATGAAACAGACAGGCAGTGCTCACAATGCCCGATTTCAATATTGCGTTCGTGTGTGAGTACGTAGTTATGCTCTCAATTACCGTGACAAAGATTTGGCTAGAGCATGGGTTTCGGTTTTATTGAAATAAATAAATTATATTGTACAGCGGGAAAGGGATTAAAGGCGTTTTAACCCTCATTTGTATAAAAGGAAACATGTTTATCCCAATTTAATGGAGAGTCAGTGTTTAAGCGTTCCAGACATGTACACATCTGCTACAACCAACTAATTGAAATATTTATATTTAACAAAGATTATTTATATATCAGTTCAAGTTAAGACAATTTGGTAGTTTGATTATGTTAAATAATTGATCAATTTATTTAGGCAAAAATTCCATATTTTATAAAGATTTGCCAGATAAAATTATTGATAAATCCCGTATTCACATAAGATTTAGGGATTTCACATTTTATGAGATTAACCATTTGTATTGGTTACTCGACTTATACGACTTATATAAGATTTACATATTTTCTGAAAAATATTTAATTAGGTTTTTTTAGATTAGCTACTAGAAACAGTTGATCGGAGAGGCCCATCTGCAATCTAGGATGGATAGACAGTTTAGAATTGAAAAAGTTTGAAGATAAACGGAAAATTATTTAGCCTTTATTAAAAGTTCCGATTATTTAAAATGAACATTTGCAACGGTAATACCAGAAAGTGTGGGCGATATTGTATACAGGGTCAGATGAAAAAACTGCAACCAACTTCAGACTGCTGTCATTTCTAAGCCACTCGTCCGACTGCTGTTAAAATTATTCCAGTGACAGCTCATTATATTGTTTACAAGCAGAAAAAAAAATTATTCGTGATGGAATGGAATGGATGATAGTGTGATTTCTTTATATTTGTCTGTAAAACCACAGGTGACTATCATTAGAGCCCTGCAGCATATAAATGTAAATAAATCGTTCGTATCTCGTACCATCACTTAGCCCGTCGTCAAGGAAGTGGACGGAAGAAAACAGCAACATTAGCAGAAATGGTTCGAAAACTAAAGAAGCGACTTGATCGAAACCCGCGTCGCAGTGGCCGAAAAATGGCTCATGAGCTGAACATATCGCAATATTCCATCCGGCAAATAGTGAAAAATGAGTTCGGTGTAAAGCCATTCATAATTCCAAAAAGTGCAAGAACTTACACCGCAACATAAAGAAAACTGACTCAAAAGATCTAAAGAGTTGCTTCGCTTGGCCAAAAGTGGTGAACTCCCGAATTTGGTTTTCTCCGATGAGGAAACATTCGTTGTCCAGCAGTTTGTAAACAAACAAAATGATTGTGTTTACTTGCCAAAGAGGTCAGCTGAAAATGTGCACCTTCGGTTGGCCATGAAAACTCAAGCGCCGGCCATGGTGATGGTGTGGGCCGCCATAACAGCCGATGGTCGCTCTCCGGTCGTATTAATCGACCGTGGCATCAGAATAAATGCCAAATATTATCGCAAAAATATTCTGCAGGGTGTATTAAAGCCTTTGGCACGCAAACAGTTTGACCGCAGACCTTGAACATTCCAACAGGACTCAGCAATATCGCACTCAGCCCGCGCCACCCAAGAATGGTTACAAAATGAGGTTCCTCGCTTTATTTGCAGCGCTCAATCATCACCAAAATCTCCGGACACCAATCCGTTGGACTATTGTGTCTGAAGTATTTTGGAAAGCAAGCTTGACACTAAAAAATACAAAAGTGTCGATCACCCCAAGCAAGCGCTTCGGCAAATACCTCAAAGCAACATTCGGGCAGCTTGTGACGGTTTCATTGGCCGTTTGAATGCCATAATTCGTGCCAAAGGTGACTAATTCGAACAAATCTAAACTTATTCTAAAATTGTATGCTTGCATTCAATAAAATTAAAAAAAAAACAAGTAAAGAAGCAGATAAGTTCGACCAAGCCGAACTTTTAATAGCCCCCACCTTTTACGAATTTCAAAAGAAAAAAATAGAAAACTACCACTTAAATGAAAACAGTCATATGTTGGCTATACGAAGACGTGGAACTGCATACGAAATTTCTTGCCATAAGTTGTAGTACCCATTAAGATCTTCCAATTGAAAAAATTGAAAGGATTCCGCCGAAAAATATTGCTGAAATCGTCAAAATACCGGCTATCATAGGCTATAGTACCCATTACGAACTTCAAATACGAAATTTTAAATAATTTCTGTAAATAATGTCGTTAAAATCATGAAAATACCGAATATCGGGAGGTAACGTTATATAGGGGCTTTACGAAGACGTGGACCTGTATAAAAAAATTTTTCCATTGGTTGTAGTACCCACTAGGATCTTCCTGTACGAAATTTGAAACTATTCCGGTGAAAAATGTTGCTGAAATCATCAAAATACCGAATATATGGAGGTACCGTTTTATGGGGGCTATACGAAGACCTGGACCTGCATACAAACGAAAACGTGGACCGACATGGCCCATTTACGAACTTAACATGCCTACTGGCAAACTATGCATATATGCAAAATTTTACCCTTTTATCTCAATTCGTTCGAAAGACAGAGTGATTACAACACACAGACAGACGGAAATCGCTAGATCGGCTTAGAATTTTACGCTGATCCAGAATATATATACTTTGAAAGGTCTATTATGAATATTTCTAGGAGTTACAAACGGAATGACAAAGTTAATATATCCTCCATAGAATTTTGGCGATTGACTTTGTCACAGTTTTTTTTATCTCACCCTGTGGGGAGCCACTATATACCTAATATTAACGGACTCCAATTAATCTTAATCCGAAAATTTACAAAAATGTGATATACATTTTCAATACGCCGATACCCGCGTATCTGCTTTATATTTTGGCTCTACTTTCATAATCTGCTGGACTTTCCTCGTAATTATTTTTCCAACGAATTTTTGCTGTGTTCTTTCACATAAGCAAAGACACATCTCCCGAGTAAATTCTTTTAAATGGTATTTCAGAACGCACTGTCTCAACGACTTTAAAGTATGAGAATATTTACCATCTACCAATTTTGAGAAACACAGAACTTTTTTTTGATAAAATATTGTTTTTAAGAAATTTTCTCCGTTCAACTATTAAATATGAATATCTTCTACAAATCCATGTTAGGGTATTTCCTTATGTTATATAAACTAAGGGATTTTAACCCCTTACCCTTATGGTGGCGGTCATTGCCGTCAACAAAACAAAATTATATATTGAGACATAGAAAACTTTGCGATACTTACAATTGACTTTGGTTAGATCGAAATCTTTGCGCGGTTCTATGGGCCCAGCTGTGGTGCTAAGCACTTTCTCCGTGGCCTGATGTTGTTGATGGTGGTGTTGTTGCTGCTGCTGTTGCTGATGATGTTGGGCTGCGGCGGCTGCTGCTACTGCATTTAATGCTGACGGTGGCAGACACGTTATACTGCCCATAACACGTGGACCATGATGATGACCATCAGAACGTTGCTGCTGTTGTTGAGCTGAGGTATTAGGATGCGTTAGATTATGATGCTGATGATCATCACGTTCGTTTAACTTTGGTGTGGAACTATTTTGACTAGTCGAAGAATTAGGCTGACCCAGAGGTGTGGAGGACATTTCCCGATGCAATGTGGGCGATGGTGTGGTATTGTGATTGGACAAATTACCGGCCGAGTAATGGGGACTGCGTTGCAAGTCATTTTGTTGTTGCAATTGCTGTAGTTGTTGCAATTTATCTTGGACACCCTGCAAAGAGGATCTGCGCTGCTGCTGTAAGCGATTAGCCTCATTGTTGGCATCTTCGTTTCCAACTGCAGCTGCAGCAGTGGATGAAGAAGAGTTTTGTGCATTTGTATTTGTGGGAGATTGTCGATTGCTGTGATGACCCAGTGAGGATACCAATGACGAGGGTGGTTGCTGCATTGCTGGGGGAGGCAAGGGTGGTGGTGGTGGCGACACTGAATGCTCTGTCTTAACCACAATATCGCCATGCATTGATTCATTGTTAACCTGTTTGTTGGCATTAGCGGCGGCTGCTGCAGCAGCGGCATTGGCCACACGTGTTAATGCCAAAGCTTGGCTCTGAAACGAAAAAGAAAAAAAAACGTAAAATAAACAAAAATCTAGCCACAAAGATAATATTTCTAGAAATGTGTATTAGACCAAAAGGAAAAATAAAAAAAAAAACAAGAAAACAAACAAAAAATATTGACTTCCTCAATATGCCATTATTGTTGTTAACTTAAATAAATGACTTAAATTATTTATTTGTCACACTGATTGTGTGTCATTCGAATAACAGTATACCCGAGGAGAAGAAATTTCACTTAAATCTAAACCCATTGTCGTTCATTCGTCTGTTTCTTCATATTTTTACTTGGCATCAGCTTGGCTTGTCATTTAATTGGTTTGTCTCGTCTCGTCTCGCCTTGTCCGTCAATCGTTAAAGAAAATAACCCAGTTTTTTTTTCGAAATTTAATTCTTTCATTTCGAATAATTGGATATTATTGGGCTTTATTTGGTGAACAAATCAAAGTAGAGTATAAAGTTCAACACAATTTATTAAGGGTACACACATACACCCATACACACAAAATTATTGATGAGTGTGGGTAAGACGAGTGTATGGCGTATCAGTTATTCTAACAGTTAAACGAATTTAACCCATCAGATTCAATAACCTTAATGGGTGACAACACACGTTGTTTTGTTTTTCCAATTTTTGGCTTATGTCGTCGTCGACGTCTGTACATGTGCCAAGATTTATTTATTAAGACAAATTACTAGGGGCAAGTGTGGAAATTTCTTGACAAGGTTCGAAAAAATAACAAAAGAGATGTTCAACTTTGGAATTTTGTCAAGGTTAGGTTCAAGAAGATTCTCTTCTTCTTAAGGTTTTAATATTGTGAGGGGAGAAATATCTAAAAAAGTTAATATCTTTAAAAAAATCTAATTGATAAATTTTAAGATTTTTCAGTTAGATTTTTTAATCAGTTTTCTTATCGGAAAGCACATTTTTAATGAAATTTGGAAATAATTAACAACCTCATTATGTCTCAAAGTTTTATTAGATAAGGTAAAAGTTTGACCTTCAATGCTTCATAAGAGTCGCACCAGTGATGTTGTGGAAACAATTTCTAGTCACATTAGCCTAAATTTGGTAAGTATCCATATATGTTTTGAGGAAGGCCTAATATAATTTAAGAGAAAAAATGAATTGATACGCGTCCTGTCTAGTTTGTATGAGCTGTCATTGTCAGCTATATTTACATGCTATCTCTATGCATTTAATACATTTAAATTTTAAACCACTAAAATTAGAATTCCTTTAAATTTTAGCTGAGGAAAAAATAAATAGATCAGATAAATGAACCCTTTCTCGGCAATAACATTCATGAAATTTAGAAGAAATATTTTTATTTTTATTTATTTATATATTATTATTATTATTATTATTATTATTATATTATTATTATTTTTATTATTATTATCATTATTATATTATTATTATTATTATTATTATTATTATTATTATTATTATTATTATATTATTATTATTATTATTATTATTATTATTATTATTATTATTATATTATTATTATTATTTATTATTATTATTATTATTATTATTATTATTATTATTATTATTATTATCGTATTATTATTATTATTATATTATTATTATTATTATTATTATTATTATTATTATTATTATTATATTATTATTATTATTATTATCATTATTATTATTATTATTATTATTATTATTATTATTATTATTATTATTTTATTATTATTATTATTATTATTATTATTATTATTATTATTATTATTATTATTATTATTATTATTATTATTATTATTATTATTATCATTATTATTATTATTATTATTATTATTATTATTATTATTATTATTATTATTATTATTATTATTATTATTATTATTATTATTATTATTATTATTATTATTATTATTATTATTATTATTATTATTATTATTATTATTATTATTATTATTATAATTATTACTAGCTGAACCCGGTGCGCTTCGCTACCCCTGTTGATTTTATATGCATTCAAAATTTTATTTACGAACATATGTTGGATAAAGAAAAACAAATTTAAAAATTAAAAAAAATAAATATTGCACTAATTTAATGCGTTAATACATGCATACACGAAGGATTTGTCCTTTGGATTTATTTATGTCATAGCAAATACCAAGCGTGCAGGAAACTGCAATTTTTTTAAGTAGAGTGGCATTTCTATTGCATTTAGTGAATTCGAGATAGCAACATACTTCGCCGTAATAAGCGTATTTCAAATCAATTGTTGTGTTGTTTTTTAGTGTTAGCCTAAGGCGTTGTGGGTCAATGGTTCTTATTAAAATCATATCCCAATCTGATCCGATTTAAATATAATTTTACAAAAATTACTTTTACACCAAACTCCGCCACACCTTTCATATTTCATTGAAATTGGTGCGTCAAATATGTGAAATCGGCCGAGAATATATATATGGGAGCTATATCCAAATCTTCACTAATTTCCAATTAATTTATCACATTTATTATTATAACCAAATTCCGCCACACATTCTGAATTTCATTGGAATCGGTCATATATATCGTGTTTGGTGCATAATATGTATGAAATCGGCCGAAATATATATGTTAGCTATATCCAAACCTCAACTGATTTCAATATAATTTGGCAATTTTTTCTGGTGCCAGATTTTGTCTCTCTCGCTTTGGGTGCATAAAATATGTGAAATCGGCTGAGTATATAAATGGGAGCTATAATCACATCTGAGCGTATTTGAATATAATTTGTTAAATTTATTTTTGTACCAATTTTAGCCACTCATGCCGAATTTCGTTGGAATCGGAAATACGTATCGTGTTTTGTGCATCAAATATGTGAAATCGGCGGAAAATATATATGGGAGCTATATCCAAATTTGAACCGATTTTAATATAATTTTTTTATTGATTTATTGATTTATTTTCTAATCAAAATCCCGTTACATATTCCAAATTTCTTTGGAATCGAACATACATATCGTATATGGTGCATAAAATACATGAAATCGGTCGAAAATATATATGAGAGCTATATCCAAATCTGAAACGATTTTAATATAATTTGACAAATGTATATTTGTTTTAATTTCCGCTACACATTCCAAATTTCATTGAAATTAGAGATACATAGCGTGTTTGGTGCATCAAATACATGAAATCGGTCGAAAATATATATGGGAGCTATATCTATCCATATCCATATATTTAATTTGAGAAATTCATTTTGGCTCCCAATTCCGTTACTTATTTTAAATTTCATTACAATTGGAAATACATGTCGTGTTTGGTCCACCAAATACATGAAATCGGCCGAAAATGTATATGGGAGCTATATCCAAATCTGAACCGATTTCAATATAATTTGGGAAATCAATTTTTTAGATAAAATCTACCACACGTTTCAGATTTCATTGAAATTGGGGATACATAGCGTGTTTGCTGCATCAAATGCTTGAAATCGGCCGAAAATATATATGGGAGCTATATCCAAATCTGAACCGATTTCAATATAATTTGACAAATTTATTTTCGGATTAAATCCCGTCACACATTCCAAATTTCATTGGAATCGAACATTCATATTGTGTTTGAGGCATCAAATGAACGAAATCGGTCGAAAATATATATGGGAGCTATATCTAAATCTGAACCGATTACAATATAATTTGACAAACTTATTTTTGTTCCAAATTCCGTTACGTATTCCAAATTTGGAGACTGTATCTTCAACCAATCAATAGATATGTGCATATAAAATCTAAATTTTTGGGAGGTACCTCCGATTCTGATGCTATATCTCCAGTTCCAAGTGGAAATTCAAAAATGTATATAGCCTATGTTACTTTCAGGCGATGTTGCAGTATATATGGAAATTTTCAGGAAAATCTATTCAGCGGTTTTCGAGTCCATAAATTACAAACAAACAAACAAACAAACAAACATACAAACATTTTCCTCTTTTATAGATATAGATTATTATTATTATTATTATTATTATTATTATTATTATTATTATTATTATTATTATTATTATTATTATTATTATTATTATTATTATTATTATTATTATTAATATATATAGTTTTTTTTGAAAACAAATCTGCTGCTAATTTTAAAATATATGAGAAAATTACACTTAAGAATATTGAACCTTTTTAGGCGTGGTGTGAGGAACATTTTGAATATGTCCATTTCGAAATAGGTCTCCAGTCTAGCATTTTCTTCTTATGATACCGCTACTACACCATGCCATAGAGTATAAAATCTATCTCCACCAACTAATTTATAAACAAATGAAAAAGCAGTAGGTTTGGCCGGGCAAAACTTTGAATACCCTCCAACATTTGGAACGAATTTGCAAATTTTCAAAAATATAAAATTCGTTAAAAATTCTGTTAAAATTTTAAACATGCCGAACATACCCGTTATTTTGGGATCTGCACGAAGACGTGAACCTACCTACCAACCTTGAAAAAAAGCCTGTGAATAATGTAGCTAAAATCATTAAAATAACAAATATGACCATTATATCGGAGCTATACGACACAGACAGTTTTCTGCCACAGGCTGTAGTACCTATTAGGAACTTCAAATTCGACATCTAAAACAATTTCGATTACTATTGTGCCTGATATATGAGGTCTATACGAAGACATGAAGCTGCATAACAATTTTCTGTCACGAACTCATTACGAACTCAAAGTACGTAATTTTAAGCAACTCCAGGGAATAATGGCGCTAGAATCATCAATATAGAGAATATAGTGGGTCGGCATACGCAATTTGTCATAGGCTATACCACCCGTTACGAATTCTAAATACGAAATTTGAAACAAATCCGGTAAATAATGTCCCTACAATCGTCAAATTATCGAACATGGGGGAGAACCATTGTATGTGGGCTATACGATATCGTGGCCCTATATAGACATATCTCTTCCAGGACGTAAAGTGCTTAGAAAGAACTTCTAGTATGGATATTTAGACAATTCCATT